TTCAATTCTGACTCCATATTAGATATTTTTTGCAATAAAAGATCAAAATTATCTTTTGTTAAATTTGGTTTATCATTTGCCATATCAACTTTTATATCTGACCAATTTTCAAAATTATTTGAAGAATTATCATTTTTATTTTTTAATAAATCAGACAAATTAGTTTGGTAAAAATTTGATGATTTTTTTTTTTAACATTCCTGTCTGGCTCTACAATCATTAAATAATGTTTAAGACATATTTTATCACCAATATTTAGATAATTATACATAGAGAGTGTCTCTTTTTCTTCAGATTTTTTTTTGGCACCAGGTGTAAATGTTCTGATATCTTTGTTTGACTCACAATCCAAAACTTGACAATAATTTATATTTTGAGACATTTTTTAATAATAATAGGGATTTTGATTGTTGTAAAAGAGATAATATTTATTAAATAATTTTTATGTAATAATTTTAAATTATATTTATAATTTATATATACTCTTTTTTATTAATAAAATTCAACTCAAGGTAATAAAATACTATTTTTAGTTTCAACCTTTAAAATTTTGTTTTTGTAAAAGATCTTCAAGCCAATAAAATTTGATTTTTGTGTGATTGTTTGGAGGGTGATCGTCATAAAATTTAGCCAATGAAATCAAAATCACAATGCGATAAACGAATGTCCATTATGCTACTTACTCCCTATGAAGTAAAAATAAATTTAATTAGATGATGTTTTAATAAATTAATTTGTGTTGTAAAAGTTAATTTATGGTATAATACTTACAATCTGGTTATTATAAAGAAATAATTAGATGATGGTTTTAATAAAATTACTTTGTATTGTAAAAGTTAATTTATAGTATAATACTTACTCTCTGGTTATTATAATGAAATAAAAATAAAAAATTTAATTAGATGATGTTTTAATAAAATTTGTATTGTAAAGTTGATTTATAGTATAATACTTACCCCCTGGTTATTATAAAAAAATAAAAATAAATTTATTTAATTAGGTGATGTTTTAATAAAATTTATTTTATGTTATAAAAGTTGATGATAGTATAATACTTACTCTCTGGTTATCATAAAGAAATAAAAAATGATGTATTTAATTAGATGATGTTTTAATAAAATTTGTATTGTAAAGTTGATTTATAATATAATACTTACCAACTGGAAATAAAAATAAATTTGTTTAATTAGATGATGTTTAATAAAGTTTATTTTGTGTTGTAAAGTTAATTTATAGCATAATACTTACTATCTATGAAATAAAAAATAAAAATATTTAATTAGATGATGTTTTAATAAAATTTATTTTGTGTTGTAAAGTTAATTTATAGTATATGATAGTGTGGTTTCAAGTTCACTTAAAGTAAAACGTTAAGTTGAACTGATTCCAAAATACATATTTATATAAAAAATAAATTGTAAAAAATGTTCATAATACGGAAAGTTATAGAACTTTTGATTATTAATATTATTCTAAATTATTCTATTAGTTTCTTCATCTTTCTTAACCATAATTCTTTATATGTTTTTAACTTTAATTCTACATTGAAATGATATTCAAAATCATCCTCAGGTATCTCTTCTCCAAAGATTCCTTGGTATTCTTTTTTAAACATTTTCAAGTCCCTTATCTTTTGTCTTAATTTCTTTGTTTCTTCATTTTCTAACTTTTTAAGATTATCTATTCTTTTGTCTTTTCTTTATTAGATAAATATTTATTTGGTCTTTCTCCAATAATTTTTCTTGTCATTTTCGTCATTTTATTATTTTTATTTATTATTATTATTATTATTATTTTTTTATTTTTTATTTTTGATGAGGTGAATTCTTTTTTCTCTCCTTTTTATATTCATTTTTTGATTAGTAATTCTAATCATTAACTAAGCCTCTTTGTCTTTTCTAGGTATTCTTCATATATCTGTGTTGCAAATATTTTCTCACATGATCTGCACACAACTTTATCTAATATTTGTGTGTAATGTAGATCTTTCAAGGGTCTTGAACATTGTTCCCTTTCACAATGATATTTATATTTTTTCTGTTGTTCCGAATCTGTTATACTCAGCCATTTAAAATGGCTTATTCTGGCATTTTCAATAGTTTTATTTGTAATATTTCTGTTTTTGAATAAATAACTTCTTATTTTCTTCTCATATCTTCTTGTTATTTTTTGAGCAAATTCTAATGCTTCATATTCTTGATTTTTTCTTTTAATCTTTTCTTTTTCTATTTTTTGAAGAAATTCCAATTTTTTCTCTTCCTTCCTTTGTATATTCTTGTGACAATTATTACAGATTTTGTGTGAGTGGTGATCTTTTAAATCTTTCTCGTATGATATTTCTTTACAATTTTCTAATCTACAATGATGTCCCACAACATGATGATATTCTATTAAATTTTCCTTTCTTTTACATTCATCACATTCTTTTAGTCATTCCGACTCTTCTTGATATCTATTATTTTCGTAATTTTTTCCAAATGAATATTCTCTTCCTAATTCATTAATTATTCCTTGATTCTTACAATCCCTTTCTAAATGTCCTTTCCCATTACAAATTCCACAAGTTCTTGTTGGACAAAATCTTTTAATGTGTCCTTTATTTTTGCAAAGTTCACATTCTATGTCTGGACAATCCTGAAAGTAGTGTCCTTCCTTGTTACAATTTGAACAAGTATTTCTTCTTCTTTCTATTGGATGAATTCTGTTATTTTCTCTAGGATTCATTTCTTTAAAGCTTTTCCATTCTTTTTCATATTTTTTGTTTTCTGGATATAGTTCATTCCGTTGGTTAATTTCCTCTGGGTAAAATTTCTCCTGTTGGATTATTTCCTGATGATTTTGTTGATCAATTCCTTCTGGATAGAATCTTTCTTGTTGTCTTGTATTAAGTTCTCCTAATCTTTGTGAAATATGATTTTCTTTTTTGTATTCTTTTATAGTGATCATTC